AATTTGATTTTTAAGATATTGGTGTATTTTTCTATATAGCTTGTTGAAGTTGAAAAGTTTGATTAGGGTAAAATTAAAGTAAACTATAATTTAGAATGGATAGACGGAGTACCATGCAAGCGATATTTTGAATGCCAATATTTGTGCATTGCTCCTTTATTTCATAGATGACAAAGGTTGGGACTTGGGAGAGGGCTCAGTAGGAGTTGTGGCCAGCAGTGAGTTAAGCCTCATTTCATTTGGTTTCTTCTCGCAAACAGCTTTGGCTTCAAAGAAATATATCTTATACATCATAGTAAGGAACTATTTTTTACTTTGTTCCTAAAATAAACTAGAAGTCAGTGAAATCAGAGAAACATGATGCTTTACATGCTCTGGCTCCTCCACGTATTCTAGCATGGAGTCACAGTCGAAAGGAACCCTACCAAATAGGCTCTATCATAGCACAATAAAACCCTAGGCCTTAGCCCCTGTCGACGAAATATGGTCGGCAGTCCACCGAGGGGGGTGCCGTGATGGTAGATTATCGGTAGGATGCGTGTGATCTGGAACCAGATGGTGACACAAGGCGCAGAGACAGCGATTTAGACAGGTTCGGGCCGTCTGGTCGACGTAATACCCTACGTCCTGTGTCTTTGGTGTATTGTATTGAGATGTATATTGTATGATCTGCTTGGATCTAGATGGATCTCTATCGATCTGTCCTCTAGGGGACCCTTGCCCCTCCTTATATACTCCGAAGGGACAAGGTTACAAGTAAAGTATCCTATTTGGTACTATTACAATGTCTTGCGGTGCACGCCTTGATCTTACGGGCCGGGCCACCTCGGATGGTGCGGCCCATGTACCATCTTGTGGTACCCGGGGGTATATCCCCCACAGCTAGTCCCCGAGCGCCATGTATTCTGATGCGACACGCCGTTTCAACCTTCTCCGAACAGTGAGGCTTGAGTTCTTGACGTCTCTGACCACCGTTGTCGCCGGAGAAGTAGGTTGTCCGAAGAATGTATGGTGCTCTTAAGAAGAAAGAAAAAGATTTCCGTCCTGGGAAGTGTGCCCACTTGTATTTCTGAAAAGAAATGTAAGTGCGTCCTGAAACGTAGCGTCCTTGATCATCAGAGGCGTAGAGGTCGAAAAACGAACACATTCACCGCAAGGTGAAGTGTGCCCACTTAGTCCCCGAGCCTGGTAGTATGTGACGTAGGCACGTGGTGCCAGGGTCTAAAAAGAATTCCCAGTTAAGTTGAGAATCCAACCGTCGTACAGGCGATACAAGATGCACCGGCAGGTGCATCATACCGATGTAGTCCCCGAGCTTGCTGGAAGGCGAGGTATGAGCCTTGTAGCAAGGTCTAAATGAGAAAGAATATCCCCAACTGTATGCGAGTTGCCAGTCGCATGTAGTCGAGACGCAAAGTCCCCGAGCCGTGGTCGGAGAGTGGTCGAGGCAGTCCCCGAGCACAGGTCGAGGAGCGAGCGATGAAGTCCCCGAGCCGTGGTCGGAGAGTGGTCTGGCGAGTCCCCGAGCACAAGCGTGGTCTGGCCAGAGTCCCCGAGCACGAGCGTGGTCTGGCCAGAGTCCTCGAGCACGAGCGTGGTCTGGCCAGAGTCCCCGAGCGTGGTCTGGCCAGAGTCCTCGAGCACCGTAGTAGTCTTGGCGAACCCTGAAGCATGAGCTCGCTGACCGAACTGTGTTCCTGAAAAATAAACACGGAAAGCGGTAGTACATGATGATGTACGAAATATATTGATCTCTCTGTAGGAGGTGAAGTAAACACTTGGTGTTCGGTTGGCGATGAATTATACTTGGTGTAATATTCGAAAAATAACATTAGCTGTTTTTAGCCCTTTTGTTATGTAGTGGCGTAGCGCGATGTATTAACCTGTCCTGAAGAATGCGCCAGCCCTGGGCTGACCAACATCTCGTAGCGCGAGGTACGGAACGCTGCCGCGCGTAGAGTGCCAGTGCTACCAGGGAGCGACTGCCGACTACCCGTAGCGCAGAGGGCGGACTCTCATGCACGCGTGGGGTGGAGCCGGAGACAGTGCCGGCTCTGGGATTCTCAAGCAGGAAGGAAAACGTATCGGCGAACCGTTGTAAAAACTTATACATGTTTTGGATTGTATGTATGGAGAAAATTCGACGCGGAGCGCACCCTAAGGGTGGTCGGCGGAGGTATATGATGATCGAAGAAAATTTCAATTAAAAATAATACTTAGCTTTATTGACGACCGGTGGGTGTAGTCGGCGTGTTGCGATGTTCGAGAGATGGCTTGACGTGTCGTTGGCGATGAAGTTGTCCGGTCCTCGAGCTTTTCGATCTGTCGTCTTGACTGTGGTCACGATTGTCGTAGCGCCGTTCTTCGCGGCGATCATCATTGCGACGTAGTCTTGTGGTCGAGGTGGTCGGAGCTCGGCGGAGCCGCTCGGGACGTGGTCGACGTGGTCCGTGGTCGACGTGGTCGGAGCTCGGCGGAGCTGCTTGGGACGTGGTCGACGTGGTCGCGGTCAACGTGGTCGGAGCTCGGCGGAGCTGCTCGGGACGTAGTCGACGTGGTCGTGGTCGACGTGGTCGGAGCTTGGCGGAGCTGCTCGGGACGTAGTCGACGTGGTCGGAGCTCGGCGTGGCTCGCTTAGCTGCTCGCTCCGCGGCTTGGCGTGGCTTGCGTACGGCTTGGCCGGCTCTCTTGATGTCTCGACGTGGCTAATTCAAACGGCTCGGACGCTTCTTTTGGTAGCTCGTGCGGCTCAGTTAACAACTTGATTCGGATGGCTCCATGTATTTGGACTTGGACGTATTTCATTGTACGTATTAGTATTGTATGGATGCCTCCGATGGATGCCTTAGCACGACATGCAAGCAAGTGGATCCGCTCCCAACGCATATATGGGCTTGTAGATGCACACATACTCCTCTATTTGCTTCTGCGTAGACCTCCGCGTGTTGCTATTGGCTTGCATCCGTGCAGATGTATATACATGTATACATGCTACGTATCTTGTTAGCTTTTTCGGCAAACAGACAAGTCATCTTGACCTCTTCTGCCCGATCAGATGGCTTGCATGTATGCTTTTGTGTAGACGTATACGCGTATATGCATGACTCTTGGCTAGCTTGCTATCTGGAGTTTCAGTCGACTCCGTAACGGACGGAGTTGTTGGCTTCCATATAGATGTACACGTTACACCTTCCTTATTTGCTTGCATGCCCGTCGATCATGCATGAGCCTGAATGGACCACGTTCAAGTGCCTAGGCATGACGATGAGATTGGATCTGATCGGCAGGAGTTTCTCGGAGACACGGATCTGATCGTGTGTCGCAGACAGGCTGCCCATCGTGCCCGAGTCCCGCACGGTGATCGTAGGCTTTCTCTCGGAGAGTCAGAGCCGGTCAGGGCAGACTGCCCACGTGCCGGAGCCGGTGTAGACTCAGCAGAAGTTGGACGCTGGAATCTAACTCGACGATTCGACCAGGTGCCTTCCGAGCAGGTCAAGGCGGTTGTAATGGCCCCTGATGCTCTGCAGGTAGCCGAATTGCCGTAGATGATGACGAAGAAGTTTCCGTGCAAAACCAAAGAACGATCTTGCGGGCAACGTTATGTTGAACTTGAGGTCCATCTAGTTCACCGGAGGATCAGCGCGCACAACCCCTACCTGGCGCGCCACTGTCGACGAAATATGGTCGGCAGTCCACCGAGGGGGGTGCCCGTGATGGTAGATTATCGGTAGGATGCGTGTGATCTGGAACCAGATGGTGACACAAGGCGCAGAGACAGCGATTTAGACAGGTTCGGGCCGTCTGGTCGACGTAATACCCTACGTCCTGTGTCTTTGGTGTATTGTATTGAGATGTATATTGTATGATCTGCTTGGATCTAGATGGATCTCTATCGATCTGTCCTCTAGGGGACCCTTGCCCCTCCTTATATACTCCGAAGGGACAAGGTTACAAGTAAAGTATCCTATTTGGTACTATTACAATGTCTTGCGGTGCACGCCTTGACCTTACGGGCCGGGCCACCTCGGATGGTGCGGCCCATGTACCATCTTGTGGTACCCGGGGGTATATCCCCCACAGCCCCCATACACATGAGCCTTTTGGGTGGTTGTTGATTCTTGGGATATCGACCACTCTACTCGCTTCATCCCAAATAAGTGCAATTTTACTGTTTAAAATTTGTCCTACAATAAGTTCACTTCTAGATTTTAGACCTATTAGAATTAATAGGTTTTGATTTTTTTTGTGTTTTCATAGTACAATCATCGCATTTTGGGATATCTTTCTAGGAGTACTTATGCCATTTCTTATTATTACTAATATTTGTAAAGAATCTTAGAATTATATTTTATGGACAGATGGAGTATATGAGATAGGTGACTATCCATGCATGAGCTCTTTTAGTTCTCTTTGTGGAGAGGCTCCTTTAGGCCGGTCCCAGTTGGTGTTTCATGTCAACGTTTTGAAGACTTCCATAGGTTAGAAACCTTGCAGACAAATTTCATCTCCATGGAACTTATTTTATCCCATTAAACTTTCATCATCTTTCTTTATCAATAATATGTCATGTTAGCTTATTTAATGTCGATAAAACTCCCATGAAACTCACACTCAGATTGACCTTATGTTTTAGATTAAGAGTCCGTTTGGTAGGATTCAGATTCTCATAGAAACATTTTAGATCTAGATTCTCTTAAGAAACTTGAGATGGAGAATCAGAATCACTAGACCATTTGGCTATAGAATCAGAATCACTACGAAACCACGTTTTAGGTGATTCACATTCGTAGGCAGAAAAATGAGAATCGCTTGGAACCGTTTCGAAACGTTTCACCTAAGGACCGTTTGGCTTGGATTATCCGGATTCACGTGAGAAATGGAATCGTTTCAAGCGTCCAAACGCACCGTAAAAGTGGAATACCAGCAGACAACAGTTAATATTATACGAACTTATTCCATCTAGGATTTGAACAAGAGGCCTTTGTCCTTGGTACAAGTCACTAAACGGCAATTTCATTGCATGCGTCCGTTTCTTCGCCGTGAGTTTCAGCAGATTCTCCTGCATCATCTTTACCAAGGTCCATGCCTCCACGTATGAAGTTTGGGCATTCATGGATTTCAGTATTTTCAAGTTTGAGATTCCTGAACAAACGCCGAAGCCTACCATGATCACAGTGAAGATCGCTGAGAAATCTCAGCCGCAGAACCTCTGCCCCCCATTCCTCTTCGTCCTCTCCGAACGTCGCCAGCTTTCCACCCCTGATGTAGAGCTTCCTCACGCCCGTCGGCCGAACCCATCGCGCAAAGTCGGCGAACGGGAAACAATGGAGGTCTAGCTTCTTAAGGTTTGGAGGAAGGGCATACTTCATCGTCGCCACCGAGTGACGGGGAGATGCTGCAGCGGTGACGCCGTTCTTGGCAGAGCTGAGCACACCCCAGCTGATTCTCAACGACTCGAGTGACTTGAACTCTCCCAATTTCAGGAACTCGTCCTCCATCGGCATCGCCATTTTTCCGATCACGATACCGAGCTTCCTGAGCTTCTCCAGCTTCGTGAGCTCATTCAGATGGCAGAAATCTCTGCTGTTGGAGTTGGCAACCACAAACCCCTTGAGAATCTGGAGCCGGGTGAGCTGCCCGAGCCCTTTCGGCATGCCGACGAGCAGGTGGCACTCGGACAGGTCAAGATACTCCAGCCGATCGAGCTTTGTGATGCCCTGGCCCAGCTCTTCGAGGTTATGGCAGGCCCGGAGATCCAGCACCTGGAGCTGGCGCAGCTTGCCGATGGAGCTGGGCAGGGACTCGATCCTTGAGATGCCCCGGAAGCTGACGTGCCTGAGGTTCTTGCAGCTCTCCATGTCGCGGAACCGCTCCACGCCGCTGACCTCGATGTGGCTGTCCATGGGGCTGGCGATCTGCTGGGCGGTGCTGAACTCCCTCCACTGTCCGAGCTGCAGCACGCGCAGGTCCTTCTTGCCGGCGAACCAGCGCTCGTGGAGCGCTCGTGGAGCTCGATGTACTTCTGCCCGATTTAAAGTGTAAATTCGTTGTGGCCAGCTCGCGAGGCCAGCATGTCCACGGTAGCAAAAATGTTTTGGTCCGTTCGAATGGAGATCGGCGGCGCTGCTATCTCCTTCCATGCCGAATATATACCGGCTCCAACCCTAGCTCTCTTCCGTCCACATCCGCCTCTCCTCCCTCCCCCTTATCTCTCGGCGGCGGCTAGGGCGCCACAGCTCCCTGGCAAGGGAGGCATGAGCCCCGGCTAGGGCGGCCTGGCGCGGCAGCGCCAGGGCCCTAGCACGGGTGAACCCCAGCATGGCGCACCCCGGCGCAGGGCGAGTGCGCCCCTCGGCGCGGTGTTGCGCCCCCAGCGCGGGTGGCACCCCGTGCGGCGTTGCGGGGTGAGCTCGCCCCCACGGCCGGCGGTGCGGCGGCGCGGGTGGGGCCCAGGGGTTGGTTCGGGTCAGAGCCTCCACGCGGCAGCTGCCTCTGAAGCCCCACGCGCCCCAGCGCGCGAGGACCCCGGCGCGAGTAGACCCAGGTAAAGGTGGCCTCTCTCCCTTGCTCCTCCTCTCCTTCCCTCGCCGGCGCCGGGGTCGAGCATCGGTCTGTGCTTGTCGCACTTCTTTGCTGGGGTCGAACCGGGGCCTCCACGACCGGATCTAGGGCCTTCATGGCCGCATCCGTTCGTTCCGCCACTGAATCTAGCTTGGTCGTGTCCTCTCGTAGCGTCCGGCCGGATCGAGCTGCACGCCGACAGATCTCGCCATCGCGAGGTGAACCATGCCGCCGGATAAGCCGCCAGCTTTGCTTTTGCGTCACCGCGCAGCTGCTTGCTAACGCTAGATCTGCGCTCCTTGTAGGTTGGTGGTGGTGGGAGGAGCGACCCCACGAGCGCATCGTAGACGAAATGGCCTTCGGTACCAGGTCCGATTTGCTTTCTGTTTTGTCGGCCCTGCTTGTTCGATGTTTGATTTTTGAGTGCCTTTTCCCGCTTGCTGGATTTAGGGACCGCGAGGACGACGCCGCGGCCGGACCGGAAGGCGATGGGGATGATTCTTGAGAAGCTTCAAAAGTGCGTGTTTCACATCTTTGTCGCAAACGCAAGATGAGATTTGTTGCGTTAAGTTTTAATGAGCTCGATTTCTCCTCCTTTTGCCACTGCCCTATTCCGCAGGAAGAATACGTATGGAGTGTTTGCGGAGCCAGTGGATCTAGAGGAGGTAAGGAGCCCATATTCATTTGCCATGCTTCCTAGAGTTGTCAATTTGTTTGGTAGGGAGCTGTTGAGTGTTCATATCGCGGTTATTGATTGACACAGCTGCCTGATTACCACGATGTGATTGAGCACCCAATGGACTTCGGCACCATCTTGCCAGGAATGCGTATTGCTTGTTCGAGCAATTTGAGGTCAGATTGCTAGGCTTTGGGTGTATATTTAAGCAGCGTATGGATAATGAAATATCGTATTGCAATTTGTTGGCCATTGAAGAGTTACTTTTCAATTCATTTTACTTTTGTCGTGAGCGAATTTGATGTGTAACGTTCTCCCAAAGTAGCAACATGTGATACGTTAGATTTGCCTAAGAGAATCAGGTTTGTCGTGCAGCCTGACAAATGTAGTGAGGTAGCTAGACTTCTCCATTTCATCATGCATTTGGAAACACATTTGTTGGTCTTGCCTTTCACGACAATTTTGTGCGCAAGGAAGGTGGATACCTTTCCGCTTTGTCTGTTTGTACTAAATTTGTGTTGCCTCATGCAAATAGTCATTAGCGTGTCCTTGAATTTGTGATTGAGCACCCAATGGACTTCGCATCATGGTCAATCACATCGTGGTAATCAGGCCACCAGCTTGACCTCCTAAACTTTATGTTTAGATTTAACCTCACTGGTTATAGAACAAATTATTTTCCCTTCAAATAAGTTAAAACTCAACTTTGTTCATTGCTATTTCCTTTGATCAGTTTTGATGCTTCATAGAATCTTTGGCTGGTACTAAAAAAACCTCTAATTCTAGATGAAAAAAACAATCACTGTTGTGTCGCTACCTTTTTTATTCTGGGGATAAAGCAGAATCAGGTTCCAGCTTTTAAAATTACTGGTTCTCTCCATAAGCTGCATTTACATGCTGGTTCTAAAATTACTTTGAACCTACTTCTGAAGATTTTAGATCGTTTTAAGTAAAGCATGTATGAAAAGTTGCTTATGGGCACCAAATGGCAACTGGTGTTTTTATGCAAAGCTTGCTAGATAAGAATGAATTGATAGGTGTTTCAGTGTTTATATGCTCATGTCTGTACACATACTACTATGATCCCTTTTTGCGGTGCACGCTGGCCTTATCAGCTCATTTTTATTCTACTGGATTGGTTTAGTTGAATAAGGGTGCCAGAGCCGTGAGGCTCCGGTTGCCGATTGAACTACCACTTATTGCCTGGATAGTCTTCAGCATTTTACATGGATATCATTTCATTGGTTGGTAGCAGCAAGGATTAGTAAGGGCAGGTACGAAATCTCTTCGATTGATATATTGTCAGATTAATACTTACAGTTATATCAAACAGTGCAGTTCTTATTATAGTTGCTGGCTTGCTGCCAAATTAAAAGCATTAGTTTATATTGTTGTCTTGTCAACAATGGACAAGGATGAGCTTTAGTATTCTTCTTGTGTGAACAAAGAAAATCCCAAGGAACAAGGTACATTGGCCGAAGAAGAGCTGCTTGACCACCCATCATCTGAACCATACAGTTTCTGCCATCTGCAGCCGCCCAGAATCAATGCTTCTGCTCCAATCCTATGGACTCATTTGCACCAAAATCCTTGTTTCCACATCCATACCCAGGTTCATGTTGCTGGTCCTATCTGCAGTGATGGTCGATGAACATGTGTTTTTGTTGATGCTGATTAGATCAAGCAGGAACTGCTTAGAGCTAGATGCTGATTAGATCAGGCAGGAACTGCTTAGAGCTAGGTCAGTTTCATGAAAGTAGATTGATAATTTCCAGCTTTATATAGTAAAAAAACTGTTGTCATGTTCAGCAATGTTGACGAGAACAAGTGAGTCGTTCTTGATTATATGACTGTAGTTTCATAATATAGGATAGGCAATGCATATGCTCGTACCTCTATAGAATCTTTTTTCGGTAACATTTTATTAATAATATTCTAATTTTTGATTGTTTGCCTTGTGTAAGTGCGATTGCCAGCAATCATGTGTAGAAGAGTGTTGAGGTTGTTGATATAGAAACCAATGAACTACGCCCGCAAAATACAGCAGCACCCAGGGTATCTGTTGGAACAAAAGGATGGCCTCTTTTGTTTGATCCAGATTGATGAAAAGCGGCATGTGTCTTCCATCAGCTTTGTGTTCTTTTATATAGTTGCCTAGCTTATTGGCCTTGGCTTCTCTTGACTTATGGTCATGCTATCTTCGGATTATTGCAACTTCTCTTGTGTTTTGTGCTGATTCTGAAAAACAAGGGCCAAATGTCAATGACACATTGTTATTCCGGGGGATATTGCAAGGTGAATGAAATAATGTTTACTGTATTAAGATACACTTATGGTTTCCCATAGAAAATAAAAACCAAATCAAGTGAGGTGATTACATTTCAGTACTTTTGTCTTGGATGACAATAGACCATTAATATATTAAACATACATTATCAGTTGTCGTAGTATTATGAGATATTTGTGGTTAATTTTTCTCAGCTTGTGTTTGCCTTCCGTGCTCTATTTTTGTGGTGATTTTTGGTTAACCTGGGATTTTTTTCTGTCCTAGGACTATTTCGTGTAAAATTATGTACTATTTGAATATCTACCGTTCTGGTGTGGGACTGTTTCATGTAATTAAGATATAAGTACTATTTTGACACCTATGTCTCATGTAATATATATGTAGTGTATCCAGCTTGACCTTTGGCACGCGTGTTGTCCGTACTGTGGTCTGAGTGGTGGAATCAAACACCTCCTGTGATATGTTCGGTTCGTATCAACATTATTCCATTTCCCAGATAAAACCTATCATATTCATTCTGTATCAACATTATTTCATTTCTCAGACAGCTGCGGCCATAACTCGCGCGCATGGGCGCGCGCAAATCACTAGTGTTGTAAATGGCTCGCACCGCGGCGCTGAACCCGGATGCCTGCTTGTCGCCGCGCAGGCAAGCGCGGCCCGCGAACTCGACATCGCCGGCGTTCAGCTCAAGGAAGCTGTTGCGTCTGGCTACGCTGAGCAGGAGGTCGCGCATCCACGGCCGCACCGTGCACCGGTGGACCGTGCGGCAGATCGCGTTGGGGGCTGTGAATGGGATGATGAACCCCTTGGCGACGAGCTCGTCGAACCGGCTGTTGCCCTCGTCGGCGGAGCGAACAAAGACCTCGGCAACCCACCAGTGGAGGAGCAGCCGCTTCTTGATGACGGCGCCCTCGGGGAAGGCGGCGACGCAGAGAGCGCAGCCGCGCAATCGTTCGTCGAGGCCGCCCACGGCGAGTCTGAGGTGGCTCATCTGCGGGCCATGGCGGATCTCGCCCATCTTGTTGGTCATCACCGTTGCCGTGCCAGGTGGGGCAGACACCTGTGACTGTGAGGGAGATGTAGTGGAAGATTCAGCCCCTGCCTCACCATCATCATCGCACTCGCAGGGGATGTTGTAGGCCTCTCGAATGCCGGCCTTGATGGAGCCGACGCCGGCGTCGACAGCGAGCAGCCCCGCGTGGATACGCTCTGCGTCCGGGGGCTTCGTGCTGGAGCGCGTCGTCGAGGTGCTGCTCCACAGGGTCGAAGCTGTAGCGGATGCGCTTCTCGGCGTCGTCGATGCGGCGGAAGACGCGCTCTAGCTGCACCATCTCCCGGCGAACCTTCTCCAGCAGCGCCCGGCATCGGACTCGTGATTTGGCGTCCTCGGCTGCAGAGCTGGCGGGGACAGTAGGCGGCGGCGGCGGCGGTCCCTTGCCGTCGGGGGGAGTGGGACCAGAACCAGAACCAGAAGGCGGCGGTGCGTTCGAGTCGAGCAAGGTGCTGATGTTGGCGAGGCGAGCAAGGAGCGGGACGAGGATGTCCTCCTCCACGCCGCGGGATGTGGCGTTTCCCTGAGCTAGGACGGACATAGCGCGTGAACTGGCGGGTGT